GGGCCTCGTGGCATGTCCGCCTCGCGTCACCCGCGGGCCTCGTGGCATGTCCGCCTCGCGTCACTCGCGGGCCTCGTGGCATGTCCGCCTTGGGACTGGACTCTGACGCCTGTGGTAGCGTTTCTGCCACTGCTCCCTCCACGTCCATCAACCGGGAGTGAAGTCCAAAGGCCCTGGCAGGGTCCACGCACTGTTCTCGGCCACAGCCCATGGGGACAGTCAGAGCGGGCCTGCGCTGGCCGGCAGGGGAGGTCAGCCGGGGGCCCCCCTGGCCTTCAGCTATTGCCTGAGGGTTTGCTGAAAAGGGTAGTGTGCTAATTCTATTATTCTTCCTGGACTTGTTATCTGGAATCCGGTCAGGAACTTTCCCTTATCAGTTTGTACTTTTGCTAAAATACTGTTCACATTGGGGTACGCTTACACTGGCCTTGGTGAACTTTCCTCCTCACTTCGGTGATGTTTGAAATTTACTTCGAAATACAAGGCTCACAGAGCAGTGCGAGGCCCAGCAAAGCCCCGCCCCCACCCCACGCTTGCCAGCTTTTCCCCATGTGCGGACGGGCTCCCTCGCGCACGGGGCGCTTTTCAACCATTTGAGCGAACTGCACACATGCTGTTCCTTTCCTACTAAGTACAGGGTGCACAAGAGCTGGGTGTAGGCCAGGGGTGCAGGGGGTGAGAGGACTCCCCAGACAGGGGACCAGGACAAGCTGATCCACTGCTGAGGGGAGCAGTGGAGAGACAGGAGAAGTCTGCTGCGCCCTGGGGGTCCCTCCCTGGCCCGGGATTGGACTCAGGCGGCAGTGGGGACAGGCTGAGACTTCACCCCCTCGGCCCCCGGAATGTATTTCCTGAGGCCAAGGACGTGTTCTTACCTAAGGATGAACGGTGACCAGTCTCACAAAATTAACACCAGGACAATGGCAGGTTTCATCCCTGACCTTATTCAGAGCGTTCTGATTGTCCCGACAATGTCTTTCATTAAAGACCACTGGATGCCAGGATCAGATCCGGATCGAGCATCACGTGAGGTCTCGTCTCTGGGGTCGCTTACCCCCCAGCTCCTCCTCAGCCTCTGCTTCGGAACCCTGACGTTTGGAAGAGGACAGGCCAGTGGCGGGGCAGACGGCCAGCTTCTAGCATGGCTTCCTTCCTTTTCTGGAATAACAAGAGGGCCAAGTTCACCTGAGTGAGCCCATTTCTCCAAACGCGCCTGGGTTCTTTCATGGGAGAAAGACTTTTAAAGATGAGAGCTGAATCCTGGAACTGGGAAGAGACTGAATGGGGCCGCAGGGGCTGGTGAGTGCCCAGCTGGCGTGGGCTGCTCTCGGGACCCCTCGCTGGGGGGAGCCCAGGGCTGGGCAGACCTTGACCTGGGTGACTTGCCCAAGATCCACCCAGCGTAATCTCAAACTGCTTTCCTACTCATATTTTTATGACACGGGTTCTTTTATGGCTTAGGAGATTTATTTGTGTTTATCTAACATCAGTTGTCTGTAGTCAGAACTGGGGTGTCCCACGGCTTCCAGTGAAGTGCTAATTAGGATTGCTGTTTCTGTTCTTTTCCTCCATGTTTACACAAGGGGACCCCGGGCTCAGCGAACCCAGACCACAGAACAGTCACTGCCCAGGGTCAGGGCGCACGTGGGGGCCACGGCGTGTAGAGATGGACGTCTGGGTGGGGGAGGGTGAGATCCAGCCTTTATCTGGCTGTGTCTGGGCCAGGGAGGGCCCAGGCCTGGTGGGGTTAGTTGTATCTACGGCGCAGGTCTCTGGCTACGGTGCAGGTCTCTGGTGAAAATGCGGCATCCACCCCACTGACCCCCGGGAAGGACAGGAGGTCCCGCAGCCCCACGTGCTGTGAAGGTCCCTCTGCTGGCCCGAGGCTTGGTGTCCATGTCCCCTTTGACCTTGGCACTCACTCCTGGAAGCCCAGGAACTGTC